CTAGATGGCAAAGAATCTGCCTGCAATGCAGGAGACTCAGGTTTGATCCCTGGGTCAGGAAGATCCCCTGGAGGAGGAAATGGCAATCCACTCCCGTTTCCTTGCCTGGAGAATCCCATGGACAGAGGAGTCCGGGAGCTAGAGTCCATGGTGTGGCAAAGAGTAGGACACCACTGAGTGACTGACGGTAACATTATTCATGTGTATGTTTCAGTGCTACTCTCTCGGTTTGGTCACCCTCTTCTTCCCTCCACTGTGGCCAGCAGTGTTTCTCTGTGCCTCTCTTCCTACCTTGCAAGTAGGTTTATCAGTACCATCTGTCAAGATTCCATATATATGCATTAATATCTGATATTTATTTTTCTCTTTCTGACTCACTTCACTCTGTGTAATAGGCTCTAGGGTTCATCCACCTCACTACGACTAACTCAAATGTGTTCCTTTTTATGGCCGACTAATAGGGAAGCTGAATCTTTATAAAGAGCAAAACAAGGGACTTCCCTTGCGATCCAGTGGCTAAGACTTCATGCTCCCAATGCAAGGGACCTGGGTTCAATCCCTGGTCAACAAACTAGATTGCACACACTGCAACTAAGAGTCCACATGTGGCAACTTAAGGTCCTGCATGCCACAGCTAAGACCCGGGGCAGCCAAATAAATAATAAATAGATATTTAAAACATATTTATAAGAAAAGAATAAAATAATTGTGTTGACAGAGAGGAGGAGCTGTGATGAATAGGTTCTGCAGAAGAAGTCACCAGTTGTGGAAGGACAGCTCTAGCGGGTGGTGTGGGATGTTGCTCTGGTAATGGAGAGGCCCTGGACTGGCGTGGAGACCGTGTGTACTGTGTTTACTGTATAAAAATATTGACCTACTTTTACCCTCAAGGGCCCTTTTCCTTCTCAGAATGTATATCCTAGTGGTACAAACTTCCATTGATAACATAAATAAGTCCTGGGGGATGCAATGGACAGAATGATGACTATAGGTAACAATTCTGTACTGTATATTTGAAAGTTGCTAAGAAAGTAGACTATAAAAGTTCTCAGCACAAGAAAAAATTGTAATTATGTGAGGCTGAAGCAGGAGGGAAGGGGGCAGGGAATAATCTTTAGTAAAACAACATAGCCATTGGATACGCAGAAGCTGATTAGAACCAACGAGGCCCAACATGGCAGAAGATTTGACTTCCAGTGCAGTAAGTCCTTTACATGTGAACGAGTTTCTATTCTGAGAGTGCGTTTGTAAGTCCAACAAAGCTGGTCTAGGTACCTAACACAATCAGTTATATGATACTGCACTGTAATAGGTTGATAATACTTTTCATACAAATAATACATAAAAAACACACAAAAAATAAAATATTTTAAATCTTACTCAAAAACTCAAAAAATCCAGTAGTACAGTGCAACAGCTGGTACACATGGGCTGGCGTCGAGTGGGCAGGCGAGGGTCACTGACTGGAGCAGGGAGAAGGGGTGGGAGATGGTAGAGCTGAAGGGTCGTCAGCAATAGGAGACGGAGGGCAGGCGGCAATTTCATTCACACCTGATGTTGATGGCACAGGCCCTGGGTCCTTGCTGGGTTCAACTGTATCTACTCTCTTGGGAAAATGGTCCAGTGATGTCTGGGTAGTAGCTCTTATCGCTCATCATAGATGACACAGTAGCAGCGGATCGCATGCTGAGCAGCTGCTGAAACCTTCGTGCACTGCTGTCCCTTCAGGTCTTGTGCCTCAGGAACTAAAGATACCTCCTCAAGTAAAATAATTCTCCTTTCCCTTCCCTGCCTCAGGAATCTCTTTGGTTCTTCTGTTCCTTCTTCTTGCTCTTGTCTCTCTTCTCTCGGCCTCCAATTCCATCGGGTCTTTATTAGTAAGCTCCATGTTCTCATGTTTGAACGTTCACAACTTGAAGGTTTGTATGTAGGGGAATTATAGACCTTGAGCCTCAATTATATGCTCATTGTAGTACATTAGCATATGCTAAATGACACGCCCACCAGTGCCATGACAGTTCTAAGGACAACCATAAAAGGCCAAAAATGGGTTCTGACCCAGTTCCTTCAAGATAGTTGGAATAATCCTCTCACTCATGAGCCTATGAAATTACCCAGCCCATGAAAACTAATCACTCCGTGTTTCAGGGCCTCTCGTCTTCTGAGATGGCCCACACTTTCACGATGGAGTGTGTTTCTCCCAAGGCCGTTCTCATCTTCTGAAATGGACTGCATACTGACCATGAGATGTCTAAATGATTCCACTTCTTACCTATCATTTTATCTCTCCCTGAATTCTTTCTGCAATAAGACACAAAGAGAGAAATATAGATCAATGGAACAGAATAGAAAGCCCAGAGATAAATCCACGAACCTATGGTCACCTTATCTTCGACAAAGGAGGCAAGGATATGCAATGGAAAAAAGACAACCTCTTTAACAAGTGGTGCTGGGAAAACTGGTCAACCACCTGTAAAAGAATGAAACTAGAACACTTTCTAACACCATACACAAAAATAAACTCAAAATGGATTAAAGATCTAAATGTAAGACCAGAAACTATAAAACTCTTAGAGGAGAACATAGGCAAAACACTCTCCGACATAAATCACAGCAGGATCCTCTATGACCCACATCCCAGAATTTTAGAAACAAAAGCAAAAATAAACAAATGGGACCTAATGAAACTTAAAAGCTTTTGCACAACAAAGGAAACTATAAGCAAGGTGAAAAGACAGCCCTCAGATTGGGAGAAAATAATAGCAAATGAAGCAACAGACAAAGGATTAATCTCAAAAATATACAAGCAACTCCTGCAGCTCAATTCCAGAAAAATAAATGACCCAATCAAAAAATGGGCCAAAGAACTAAACAGACATTTCTCCAAGGAAGACATACGGATGGCAAAAAAACACATGAAAAGATGCTCAACATCACTCATTATTAGAGAAATGCAAATCAAAACCACAATGAGGTACCATTACACGCCAGTCAGGATGGCTGCTATCCAAAAGTCTACAAGCAATAAATGCTGGAGAGGGTATGGAGAAAAGGGAACCCTCTTACACTGTTGGTGGGAATGCAAACTAGTACAGCCACTATGGAAAACAGTGTGGAGATTCCTTAAAAAGCTGGAAATAGAACTGCCATATGACCCAGCAATACCACTTCTAGGCATACACACTGAGGAAACCAGATCTGAAAGAGACAGGTGCACCCCAATGTTCATCACAGCAATGTTTATAATAGGCAGGACATGGAAGCAACCTAGATGCCCATCAGCAGACGAATGGATGAGGAAGCTGTGGTACATATACACCATGGAATATTACTCAGCCATTAAAAAGAATTCATTTGAATCAGTTCTAATGAGATGGATGAAACTGGAGCCCATTATACAGAGCGAAGTAAGCCTGAAAGATAAAGACCATTACAGTATACTAACACATATATTATATGGAATTTAGAAAGATGGTAACGATAACCCTATATGCAAAAAAAGAAAAAGAGACTCAGATGTATAGAACAGACTTGTGGACTCTGTGGGAGAAGGCGAGGGTGGGATGTTTCAAGAGAACAGCATTGAAACATGTATATCTAGGGTGAAACAGATCACCAGCCCAGGTTGGATGCATGAGACAAGTGCTTGGGCCTGGTCCACTGGGAAGACCCAGAGGGATAGGGCGGAGAGGGAGGTGGGAGGGGGGACCGGGATGGGGAATACATGTAAATCCATGGCTAATTCGTTTAAATGTATGACAAAAACCACTGCAATGTTGTAAAGTAATTGGCCTCCAACTAATAAAAATAAATGGAAAAAATTTTAAAAATAAATAAATAAATAAATAAAAAAGAAAAAGAAAAAAAAAAAAGACACAAAGAACCTGAGCTTCATTAAAGTCCTGAGACCAGGTGTGTGAGCCCAATGAAAAGACAGCGGATTCAAGTCCCAATCTGAGTTGTGAGGTTTCAACATAATGGACGCTAACCTATGAAACTCCAATACTTTGGCCACCTGATGCAAAGAACAAACTCATTTGTAAAAATCCTGATGCTGGGAAAGATTGAAGGCGGGAAGAGGAGCAGACGACAGAGGATGAGATGGTTGGGTGGCATCACTGACTATGGACGTGAGTTTGAGCAAGCTCTGGGAGTAGATGATGGACAGGGAAGCCTGGCATGCTGCAGTCCATGGGGTCGTAAAGAGTCGGACTCGACTGAGTGACTGAACTGAACCTAAAACTAATTATGGAGATAATTTTGCCATATACACATGTATCAAATCATTATGTTATACATCAGAAACTAATAATGCTATATGTCAATTATAACAAAAAATTTTAAGGTCAGCATGATCACGGGAGAGTTGAGGTGACAGTGGGAGGCAGCCTGGTTCAGGGCTCAGGCCACCTTGGGAAACTGCGCGTGGGTTCAAATCCTGGATCTGTCATTTACTAAGGAATAAAGTTACAATCAGTTTAAATTACTGTGTAAATCTCAATGGGATTAAATAAAATCTTCCACCTGCTCTCTTTTTCCACAGGAGGTGTGAAAGATCTTAGGGAGGCCTTGGATCCAGGGAGGGGACTAAGCGGCTCAGAGGTTGAAAGAGAGGGACTGGGAATTGTTTTTGAGTTGGCTGAGAAGGTGGTTTGACTGCAGGGTACTGCTGCTGCTGCTTGAGGGCTAAAGGCAGAGGTCGGAGCTCAGGGGACAGGAAGGAAGGTCGGAGCTCAGGGGACAGGAAGGAAGCAGGTTTGGGAAGCAGCGCCAGATCCAGGCGAAGATCTTTGATCTTTGATTGACAGCCTGGGCCCGCCTGCCTTCCTGATTCCTCTTCCAGAGCAAAGGTCATGCTGCCAGTTTGAACCTCCTTTTTTTTTTTTTCCTTTCTCAGCTCAGCTGACCCTATAAGGCAGGTCAGCGTCGCAAAATCAAAAGTCGCAGAACAGGAACTATTCTGCAAATAGTTCTGTGAACCAGAACATTCCCTGGGAAAGATGGCAGGGAATTCGATATTGCTGGCTGCACTCTCTGTCCTCTCAGCCTGTCAGCAAAGTAAGCGTTCTGGGGGGTGTGTGTGTGTGTGTGTGTGTTACAGTGAGGGGGGAGGGTTTGGGTTTGTAAGTGTCCTGGTGTGTGTGTGTGTTGGAGAGGGGAGGGTTCGGGGTTTGTAAGCATCCTGGGCTGTGTGTGTGTTTGTGTGTGTGTGTTAGAGGAAGTGGGGAGGCTTTGGAGTTTGTAAGTGTCCTGGTGTGTGTGTGTGTGTGTGTTAGAGGGACAGGGAAGTGTTTGGAGTTTGTAAGCGTCCTGGTGTGTGTGTATGTGTGTGTTACAGTGAGGGGGGAGGGTTTGGGTTTGTAAGCGTCCTGGTGTGTGTGTGTGTTGGAGGGGGGAGGGTTTGGGGTTTGTAAGCATCCTGGTGTGTGTGTGTCTGTGTGTGTGTGTCTGTGTGTGTGTGTTAGAGGGACCGGGACGTGTTTGGGGTTGGTACTCACTTGCTGGGGGCCTGTGGGGTCTGCAGAGCTCTCAGGGGCACCAGGAGACGGCAAAGATGTAGAACATTCTGGGGGTTGGTTCTCTCTAAGTTCTCCCTACGGGGCCATGGTGGGCCCTCCAAGCCCAGAGAGTCTGCATCATCTGTGGTTACAACCCACAGCCCTCTTTGACTGAACCTGGGCCAAGTGGGCTCTAAATATTAATTAGGAGTGTTCCAAAGGGAACATTGCACCTTGCTTACAAATCATGGCTGTGATTTCTCGAGCCCTGTGTTTCCTAAATAAGCTGCCTAGGGCAGGTATGATTATCAGGTACACACACACAAAAAGTTCCTGCAAAAATATGAGCTTCAGATTAAGCAGTTCATTCTAAATTTTAAAGCGCCTTCCCATTAGGATTATTCAGTATCCTGATCGCCTGCTTGAATAGAGGCTTTTTCTCCTCTGGGGTCACTTTTGCTCAATTCCTATTATTTTAGGCACATGCTTCCTTAGCATGCAAACGGGGAAAGTGTCTGAGCCTTGGCGAGCAAGACTTCTTTATCAAGTGCACCTTTGTTAATTTTCCCCAGTGTGCTTGAACCAGGAAATGGGGCGGAGCTGTGGACTGCTCGGCCCTGAGCTCCAGAGGCACAATGGTTTAGGACTGAGTCCAGCCTGCACGCACACCCAACAGGAAAACCTGCCAGCGAGTCTGTTTTTGTGAATTTATGAGAACATTATACTTTAAGACACAGTTTGTGGTTTGATTGACCTCTTTTCTACAGTAAAGTAGAATGCTTATTGCCAACTAAGCATCACTTAGGTCTGAAGCTCTGGTTCACCTAGACCCACACATAGGCACTATCCACCCCGCGTGTGCCCAGGTCCCGGCCCTGAAGAGGGCACCGAGGCAGGTCCATGCGTGTCCCCAGGCTGACTCAGCCTCTGCCTTCCCCACAGAGAGGCTCTGTTTGCTGGCGGGTGCCAGGGACAGCGTGAATTGCAGTGTGACGTTCAGGCAGCTGGGCTGGGAAGAGGAGACTGGGCCAGTGGTGGTTGGTGGTGGACCGGGAATGTTTAATGACGGTGGACAAGTGGAGAGGGGTGGGAGAGAGAACAAGGAGGAAGGGAGAGAGGGAGTTGGCATGAAGAACCAGAACTCACTGCTTAGCTGAAGCCTGGTGTTTATGGAGATGGACAGCACTGGGCTGTAGCAGAAGCAGCGCGAGGCTTGGACACAGACAGACTCACAACCTCTGGCCCAGCCACTTACAAGCTGGGTGCCCTTGGCCAGGAAATTCTGTTCTTCAGGGTCTTCAGCAGAGAAGGTTAGACAGGACCCTGGGAGGGGGTGCCAGCAGGGTGCTTGGTCCAGCGCTGGCACTCAGCGTGGTCATCTCCCTCGGCTGCTTCCCCACAGAGAGGAGTTTCTGCTGGATCGAGAGGCAGCCGTGCGGTGAAGAAGTACAGCTGCGGCTGGCAGGGCAGGACGAGAGGTCTTGATTCACTTTCCCCAGCACACATGTGTCCCCCTGGAGAGAGGGAAGGAAGGGAAAAGACAGTCAAAGCCAAAGGAGCTCATTTTCAAGTAGTCTTTAAACAACTCACAGGAAGGGAAATAAAAAGGAAGCGCTCCGGAAAAAGGGGTGAAATAGCCTTTTCACCCTCGTCATGTTGCTCAGTGACAGCCACGGTCTCTCTGAAGGCCCTGACATGAGACCCCCTGGGACTGGAGCTGGTGCAATGGGGTCCTCCTTCCTGAGGGTGGACGGGGTTTTTCAACCCCATGACTGTAGCCCACCAGGCTCCTCTGTCCATGGTGATTCTCCAGGCAAGAATACTGGAGTGGGTTGCCATGTCCTCCTCCAGGGGATCTTCCCAACCCAGGGATCGACTTCAGGTCTCCCACATTGCAGGCAGATTCTTTACCTTTTGAGCCACCAGGGAAGCCCATAGGGAAACGATATATAAATCTAGAAGCACACTTTCTTTGTTTCCATTTTACACGTGGAAACAAAGAGCCTTGACTCCTGTTTTCTCTGAGGCTGTGGACCGAGTTAAAAGCAACAGTAACGAGGTCCAGGATGGCCAAATCTCAGTTTTCCCCTCCATAGACAGATTTCCAGCTGATGCTGTGAGCCATTAGTCTCTCCAGATTTATGATGCCTTGACAAGCCTTAGCCCAGAGTCGGAAACCATTAATGCCCAATCCCACTCTTATTTCACTCTGCTCTCCTAGACTTCAGTGATATGACTACAGTTTGAATGAGAAAGATGCCAGTCCTAAGTGTATACACACTTAGATGTTCAGCTATAGGTTTTAAATCCTGCTGCTAAGTCGCTTCAGTCATGTCCGACTCTGCGCGACCCCATAGATGGCAGCCCACCAGGCTCCCCTGTCCCTGGGATTCTCCAGGCAAGAACACTGGAGTGGGTTGCCATTGCCTTCTCCAATGCATGAAAGTGAAAGTGAAGTCGCTCAGTCGTGTCCAACTCTTTGCGACCCCATGGACTGCAGCTCACCAGGCTCCTCCATCCATGGGATTTTCCAGGCAAGAGTACTGGAGTGGGGTGCCATTGCCTTCTCCTTTATTTGCAGGGCTGTCAGGACTTAGAAGCTATAAGGTAATTCTGAGGGGAATGAAGGGGAAGGGTGTGGCCAGTTGTGAGAACCTTACTTGACCAGGTCCAATATTTACTGACTCCTTGTTGGAGAGGAGGTTGTACCATGTGTCAGGAGGAAACACATGGTCCCTAAGCCTGTCACACAGTGAGACACTGGAGCTGCATACTTGGTGTGGAAAAGGAAATTATTTTTAAAACATGAGCAAGTAGGAAATGGATATTGAGGTACTGAAGTAAGGGGGGCCAGTGTAGTGTTGGAGAGAACTGGTAAGAAAGTGAAACTGGAGGAAATAATTTGAAGAGAAATACAGAGACCCCAGAAGTTAGTTCAGGAGTAAAGAAAAAGAGAGAGGACAAGTGGTGATAACTGTCGACAAGGAGGAAGTGTAGGTCTAAAGGAAAGAAGGTTATAGAACTGATCATCAGAAACAGGTGATTCCAGGCATCAGGGCTTGATAATCTAATGTATTTTCCATGCAGCAAATGAAGGATGAGAAAGTCATAATTATTTCATAATAGGGAAACTGAGTCATATAGGAAACCATCATCCCCAAGTTTTCTTGTGACCCCCCTCACCTCCTCCTCATCTCCAGGCAATTACTGACCTGCTTTATGTCACTGCAAATTCACTTGCATTTCTGAGAATTTTGTGCAAATAATCTTATACAGTATTACCTTTTTTTTGAGGGGGAAGGGGCTTGCCTCTTTCATTCAGCATAGTTTTTTTGGTATAAAACATTTAAATTATTGGTCATTTGAGGGAATTTGATGCATCACCAGTGTATTACACTTGCGCCATCAAACTTGTAGCTTCATCAACATTAACTGGTTTGCTTTCACGACCTTGCTGAGGAATCAGCTGTTTCTGCAGAGGTTCAAGAGGAAGGCCCTTTGAGACGTGTGTGTAGCTTCCTTTTGTATATCCACAAAAGCTTTATTCACTCTGTTAACTTTTTCATCATTCACAGTGTTTCTCTCCTTAAGATCAGTGGTAGCTAGTTTCGCTTTATCTTTAACCTGAAAGATTTTTGGTTGACTATGTGGAGCACACGCCTGGACTCCTGCTCTCTTAGTTTGTCCTCGGCCTCTGATTCTCGTGCAGCTGCTCAAGTTCCAGGTGACGCCATCTGCACGTGCCTCATTCTGCATAACTGTTCTGAGATTCACCCATGTTGTTTTGTTTACTAGTAGTTCATTACTTTTTACTGTTGAGTAGTATCTTGTTGTATGGATACACCACAAATTGTTTATCCACTCACTTGTTGATAGACATTTATGTTAGTCAGGGTTCTCCAGAGAAACAGAACCAATAGGATACACATACACACTCTCACACATCTGCTTTAAAAGATTGGCTCTTATAACAGTTGGGGCTGGAAAGTCTGAAATTTGCAGGGTCTGTTGCAAGACTAGAAATTACAACAAAAACTGATGTTGCTGGGACTTCCCTGGTGGTCCAGTAGTTAAGAATCCATGCTCCAATGCAGGGGGCATGGGTTTGATTCCTGCTTGGGGAACTAAGATCCCACATACCACATGGTGTGGCAGAAAAAAAAAAGAACTGATGTTGCAGTCTTGGTCCAAAGGAAGGCAAAACTCTCTTCCTCTTTGGGGGACCTCAAGCTTTTCCCTTAGGGCCTTTAACTGAATGGGTAAGGCCCATGCCAATAGGCAGGATAATTTGTTTTATTCAAAGTCTACTGATGTAAATGTTCAACACCTCTGAAAAATTATCTTCACAGCAATATCTGGACTGGTGTTGACCAAACAATTGGGCACCATGGTTAGCCTTGTTGATGTATAAAGTTAACCGTCAGCAAGTTGTTCCCGATTTTTAGCTATTACTGTGTACAAGTGTTTCTATGGACATATGATTTCATTTCTCTTGGGAAAATGTCGAGTTGTGGACTGACTGAATCATATGTTCAATATATGTCTAACTAAAAAATTCTAGATGGTTTTCCAAGGCGGCTGTACCATTTTACATTCCCGCCAGTGATGTATGAGGATTTCAGTTGTTTTTGTATCCTCATCTGTCTGTCTTTTTCAGTTGGTATGATCCAACTTTTAAAATTTTTGACATTTTAATAGGTATGTCGTGCATTTTACTAATGAATAATGATGTGCCGCATTTTTAACGTTCATTCCTTTTTACTCGCAGGTTACTTTGCTATGCAGGTAGGAAAGGCAAGATCGAAATACAAAGTTACGCCCCCAGCAGTCTCTGGGTCACCAGATTTTGAGAGAATATTTCGTGCACAGTGAGTAATGCTTCTCCCTTCTGGAATATGGACCAGCCACATACATAAAATTCCTAATTAGGGGAGAGATGCACAGAAAAGATATGCTATTATAACAAGCTACTCTTTATGGCCAAGACCCTTCTCAGGATCCTTGAGGCTTGAAGTAGTCAGTGCATGGAGTTTCTACCCACCCATAGGACAAATTGAGCTGATCCATTCATGGAAAAGGCTGGAATCTTGGAGGAGGGACTGCTATATGTTTCTAAACATGGCAGTTTGGGCCGAGAGCCTGGAGGGGTCCCCCTGAGAGTTCAGTAGCCTCATGTTGGATTAGTTATGCTGCCCCTTTTCTATCTAAAATCTTTATTTCTTCTTATCCACTTTGAAACAGAGGCAAGTCAGTATTATCCTCTGCCAATGGACCATTTCCTAAACCCAGAAACCTGCAATAATAAGGAAGCTATTTCATTGTATTCCTAGTATTTTTTTAAAGATCATCTTGTGCTCCTTGTTTTCAGATCCACACAGAATGTTCCACCATGACTGCCTGATGCAAGATGCTAGGTCTCCCTTTATATTTAATTCCCCCAACCAAGTGCTTTTAAAAATGTTGCACATATCACAATTTATGCATTGCTTGATTCTTTTGTTAATACTTTGGGAATTTTCAACTTTGTTTATAAGTGAGGTTGGACTATAATTTTTCTTTTTTTTTGTATGGTCCTTGCTCATTTTGATATCAAGATTATAAAGATTATATTAGTCTCACAGAATGAATGAGAGAATTATTTTCTCAAAGAATTTGAGTCAGATTGGAAGAGTGTGTTTCTTCAAAGTTGTTAGAGTTTGCCTATAAAATGATCTAGACCTGATTCTTTTGTGTGAAAAAAATTTAAACTATGAGATTTGATTTATATAATGATTATGGAATTATTCAGGCTTTTTATTGTTTCTTGAATCAGTTTGGGTCAGATTTGGCTTTTGAGCTGACAACATTGGTCTTTTGTCCATCAAATTGCTCCAACGAGCATTGTACACACTATTTCCTAGGCTTAAAATATGATGAATACCACTGGTAGTATAAGAGGTGCATAGATATGCTTAAATTTTTTTTTTTTAATGTGGTAAGAATGTGTAACATGAGCTCTACCCTGTTAGCAAAATGTTGAATAGATAGTACATTACTGTTGACTAGAAGTACAATGGTGTACAACTGTAGATTTTTAGAGTTATTAATCTAACATGGCTGAAACCCAAGGTATGATTTTAAATAACATTGAAACACATGATAAGGAAGTCATTTCCATTACCTTTGAATCTTTATTATTATTATTATTTTAACTTTTGAATCTTTATATCAAGTGGAGAGTATTGATTTGGTGATATGTCCCACATCCCAAAAGTAATATTTATTTTTTTAGCAAGGTAATATATGTTTGTAGTCTGAAAACAAAGTGAGGTTACAAACCTTATCAGCTCAGTTTAGTCGCTCAGTCGTGTCTGACTCTATGTGACCCCATGAACCACAGAACGCCAGGCTTCCCTATCCATCACCAACTGCCAGAATTTACCCAAACTCATGTCCATTGAGTTGGTGATGCCATCCAACCATCTCATCCTCTGTCATCTCCTTCTCCTCCTGCCCTCAATCTTTCCCAGCATCAGGGTCTTTTCAAATGAGTCAGCTCTTCACATCAGGTGGCCAAAGTATTGGAGTTTCAGCTTCAACATCAGTTCTTCCAATGAACACCCAGGACTGATCTGCTTCAGGATGGACTGGTTGGATCTCCTTGCAGTTCAAGGGACTCTCAAAGAGTCTTCTCCAACACCACAGTTCAAAAGCATCAATTCTTCTGTGCTCAACTTTCTTTATAGTCCAACTCTCACATCCATGACCACTGGAAAAAGCATAGCCTTGACTAGATGGACCTTTATTGACAAAGTAATGTCTCTGCTTTTTAGTCTGCTGTCTAGGTTGGTCATAACTTTCCTTCCAAGGAGTAAGCATCTTTTAATTTCATGGCTGCAGTCACCATCTGCAGTGATTTTGGAGCCCCCCAAAATAAAGTCCGCCATTGTTTCCGCATCTATTTGCCATGAAGTGATGGGACTGGATGCCATGATCTTAGTTTTCTGAATGTTGAGCTTTAAGCAAACTTTTTCACCCTCCTCTTTCACTTTCATCAAGAGGCTATTTAGTTCTTCTTCACTTTCTACCATAAGGGTGGTGTCATCAGCATATCTGAGGTTATTGATATTTCTCCCAGCAATCTTGATTCCAGCTTGTGCTTCCTCCAGCCCAGCATTTCTCATGATGTAGTCTGCATATAAGTTAAATAAGCAGGGTGACAGTATACAGCCTTGACGTACTCCTTTTCCTATTTGGAACCAGTCTGTTATTCCATGTCCACTTCTAACTGTTGCTTCCTGACCAGGTTTCTTAAGAGGCAGGTCACGTGGTCTAGTATTCCCATCTCCTTCAGAATTTTTCACAGTTTATTGTGATCCACACAGTCAAATGCTTTGGCATAGTCAATAAAGCAGAAATATATGTTTTTCTGGAACTTTCTTGCTTTTTTGATGATCCAGCGGATGTTTGCAATTTGATCTCTGGTTCCTCTGCCTTTTCTAAAACCAGCTTGAATATCACAAACCTTATAACAACAAATAATTCTCCTTATCCCCATCCATCCTCAGAGACAGCCATTGGCACTCCTTTTTTTTTTTTTTAACTACTTTTGGTATGTATTTCCATATTTTTGAATGCTATGTGTTCACTGCTATTTATTGACTCAGAAATTTTAGACATTAACAATTGATTTCCTTTTATGGAATAAAAAATTTCATGCTCCTCTGTTTATTTTCCTCACTTCATCCTTCCTGTAAAGTTATATCACTTCATCAAGTTAAATCAATAGTCAATGTTTATGTTATTGTGACTAAGTAAATAATGTTCAAAGCTGAATCAAGTAGTTTACTATGATTACCTTTCCTTCTTGTGTAGTTTTTTGTTTATGTGGAGTTAATATTTGCCTCTTTATTTGCTTGCTTAGTTTCATCTCCATATCTTTAGCAGAGCTGAAAATCTCCTCTAATACATTTAAATACATTAAGTAATACCTTGGAGGTTTTTTTTTTTTTTTTTTGAGTCATTTGTGCTTAATTTATGCTTGGAGTCATTTCTGCTAGAATCTTCCATTTTTCTGCTCCAATCTGGAGGTTACACTTTAGGTCTGTTACATAGCTGTTATCCCAGGATTTCCTGTCAGTGTCCTAGGAATTTCCCTTGTACTCTACTGATTTGGGGGCTTCCCAGGTGGCGTGAGTGATAAAGAACCTGCCTGCCAATGCAAGAGATGTAAGAGACACTGGTTCTTCCCTGGGTTGGGAAGATCCCCTGGAGGAGGACATGGCAACCCACTCTAGTATTCTTGTCTGGAGAATCCCACGGCTGCAGGATCCTGGCAGGTTACAGTCTGTAGAGTCGCCGAGTCAGACACGACTAAATTGACTTAGCACGCACACTACTGATCTGGATCCCCTGTTTCCTGGATTTACTGTTAGGCTATTTATTTTTTATTTCTCATTTTGGTGGCATATACCCTTTAGGCACTTTCCAAGAGAAGGGGAATTGTAGGTCTTGACATTTCTAAATATGCCTTTATTCTGCCTCATAGTTGATTGATGGACTTTGTTAGGCATATATTTCGATGTTAAATATCTTTACCTTAAAAAAAAAAATCCTTACCCTCAGAATTTCAAAAACCTTGTTTCATTGTTATCTGATTTCCACTGCTGTTGTCAAGGTGTTCTGTGCTGTTCTGGTCCTTTGTTTGGAAACTGCAGAAGCTTGAGGGTCTTGGCCTGATCCCTGTCCTGAGATGTTACAGTGCTGTGCTGACTCAGCCAGAGGTATTTTTCTTCACAGTTAAGTCACTCAGTCATGTCCGACTCTTTGTGATCCCATGGACTGTAGCCCGCCAGGCTCCTCTGTCCATGGAATTCTCCAGGGAAGAATACTGGAGTGGGTAGCCATTCCCTTCTCCAGAGGATCTTCCCAAACCAGAGCTTGAACCCCAGTCTCCTGCATCGCAGGCAGATTCTTTACCATTTGATCCACTAGGGAAGCCCTTATGCTGAACCCTAGAGGAGACTTTTTGTAGCCTGAAAACTCATGCCCTTCTGTTCTTGAATATTCTTCTATATTATTTACCCCTAAATTTTGTCTTCTTTTCTCCATTCTTTCATTCTTAAAATATATATAAGTTGTAAGTTGACCTCCTGGACTGTTCCTTTAGTCTTCTTTTATCTTGAGTTTTTCATCTTCTTGTGCTTTTAGTCTTTCTGGGAATTCCTTGAACTTCCAACTCTTAATTGACTTTTTTAAACAAAAATTCAGATATGAATTTAATTCTTAAGAATTAATTTTTGTCCTTTGATCTTTAGTTCTTATTGCAGTCACATCATTCTTTTCTTATTTCATAGATGCAATTTATTCTCTTATATCTGAGGATTTTAATGATATTGTTTAAAAATTTTTTCCTGTATCATTACTGTTTCTTCCAAGTTCCTTCTGTCTATTCCAGCTATTGTCTTTAATTTTTATTTGCTATTCATTCATTAAGTATCTTTCGAGTACCTCTATGTATTAGGTACTATTTTAGTAGCTTGGGATATGATACTCAGACAAAGGCCCTTGCCCTTTTGAAGTTTATCTTACAGCCAAGGAAGACAGAAAATAAACAATAAAGAGATAGTAACTTAAGAAAAGAATATGTTGTGCAAGAGAGTGCTACGTGTTAAGAAATACAAGAAAAAGCATCACATGAGCACATGGGTGTGGGTTGCTGGGGTGGGTTGCAATTTGAATAGGGTGGTCAGTGTAGAGCCGATGGATAAGGTGGCACTTGAGCAAAGACTTAAGTACATGAAGGAGTTAGTCATGTCAACATGTAGGGAAGATGCTTTTGAGACAGAAGAAATAGCCAATGCAAAGCCTCTAAGTGGGAATGTATCTG